GCAATCAGAGCCTCCAGGCCCAGGAGGATGAAAAGAACATGGAGACAACGGGAGGCTCCAAATGGAGTAGCCCTCTGCCAGCTCACATCCCTCTTTCAGGGGCTGCAGCTTGGACATCCCAGGACTGGCCAGGTTAGAGGCAAGGAGGATATATTTGCTTTTGTTCATTGTGTTCCTGGTGGAAACCTGGGACTTGCTCAGGAGAATGGGGAGGAAAGGCCAATGAGTCAGAGGCTTGGGGTTGAGAACAGGTGTGGGGAAGGGAAAGGGAGCTAGTCTGATACACATCATCTTGCACTCTAGGACTATGGAGTGTTATCCTCTGAAGGAGATTTTCCATCTGTGTAGTCTCCATGGAAAATATAATGAGTTAACCTATGGGCGGGGGGGATTCTGGCTTAGAGAATAGGGTAAACTTCATAACTCTGGAAGGTAATACAGGTGCTCCTTGACTTCCAGTAGGGTTATGTCTGATAGGTTTATATGATATGCATATCAGGAGATAACCCTGGTGTAAATGGAAAATGCTTTAAGTTGAAAATGCATTTAATACACTTAACATACCAAACATCATAACTTTGCCCAGCCTACCTTAAACATGCTCAGAACGCTTACATTAGCCTACAGTTGGGCAAAATCATCTAACACAAAGCCTATTTTATTATTTTTATTTATTTTTTGAGGCAGAGTCTCACTCTGTCACTCAGGCTGGAGTGCAGTGGTGCAATGCTTCTCTTGTCATCTGTGTCAGGCCTGGGTTTCCCTCCTAGTCGCCTTCTCCATGACACGGGCCAGGACACAAAGTGCTGAGTTTTGTAAGGAAAAGGTACAATAAAGATGCCCCTAGCTTTTGGGAAAGGAGCACCTCTCAGAGTTCAGATTAAGGAAGGAATCAGCATTCCTGGGTTGGACAGAGTCAGCTCAGAGTGGCTTCTCCCCACTGCTGCAGCAGCAAAAGTCACTGCCTTTCTATAGGTCATGCTTAGAGCCCAACTCAAGGGATCCAGGCACCTCTTCCCTGCCAGAGCTCACTGCAACCTTCACCCCCCGGGTTCAAGTGATTCTCATGCCTCAGCCTCCCTAGTAGCTGGGATTACAGATGGCCGCCACATGCCCAGCTAATTTTTTTTTTTTTTTTTTTTTTTTTGAGACGGAGTCTCGCATCTGCCACCTCGGGCTGGAGTGGCCGAGTGGCCGCGATCTCAGTCTCACTTCAAAAGATCCGAGACCATACACAGGTTCCAGGCAAATTATATCAACATCAACTAGCACAAACACCGAACACGACAAAAAAAAACAAACCACAGCAAAAACATCGCCACCATTCGCCAGCAGTTTTTGTATTTTTAGTAGACGTACGGAGTTTCACCGTGGTTCGTCCAGGATGGTCTCCGATCTCCTGACCCGCTCTGTGATCCGCAGTCTCGGCCTCCAAAGTGCCTGGATTACAGGCTTGAGCCACGCGCAGCCTTTTTTTTTTTTTTTTCCGAGACAGAATCTCACTCTTGCCCAGGCTGGAGTGCAGTGGCCCAATCTCAGGTCACTGCAACCTCCACTTCCCAGGTTCAAGCAATTCTGCCTCAGCCTCCTGAGTAGCTGGGACTACAGGCACACGCCAGCACGCCCGGCTAATTTTTGTATTTTTTAGTAGAGATTGGGGTTCACCATGTTGGCCAGGCTGATCTTGAACTCCTGAGCTCAAATGATCCACCCACCTCAGCCTCCCAAAGTGCTGGGATTACAGGCGTGAGCCACTGTGCCTGGCCCACAAAGCCTATTTTATAATAAAGTGTTGAATATCTCGTGTAATTTATTGACTACTGAAAGTGAAAAACAGAATGGTTTTATGGTACTTGGAAAAGGGTTTCTACTGAACGTGTATGGCTCTCACACTCTTGTGAAGTCTAAAATCTTAGTCAAATCTTAGGTCGGGGACTGTCTGTATAAGATTCCTTCCTTAATCTGAACTCTGAGAGGTGCTCCTTTCCCAAAAGCTGGGGGCATCTTTATTGTACCTTTTCCTTACAAAACTCAGCACTTTGTGTCCTGGCCCTTGTCATGGAGAAGGCAACTAGGAGGGAAACCCAGGCCTGACACAGATGACAAGAGAAGCATTGTGAAGACAGTTGGTGTCACAGGCACCTTGAAAAAAGGCCACAGCTAGATACCTCATCTAAGAGATCAACTTTCTTGGAGTCAGGATGGAATGTGAACCTCCCTTAAGTAGTGGTGTTGGAGAATATAAGAGCCTCTAAAATCTATAGACAGAAAGTCTTAGCTGGAATAGTTGGCTTTAGGATTGAGCCCTCTTAACTTCTTGAGGTAATTTAATAGGAGGAGGAGTGGCAGACAACACTCCTCCGCTCTAACTGAAAACCACCCTGGGGAGGTATGAACCTTGATCTCAGGATTGTGTGCAGATCTGTGAGCGGAGAGGAAAGTAAGCACTGATCCCACATCCTTCCTGGAGGCTGGGTACCCAAACTGAAGCTCCTCCCTAAAAGGCAATACAGACAGTAGGTCAGCCACCAGCGTGTTCCAGGTGCCCCCACCCCTGGAGACCAGCCCTCCAGCCCTCCCTCATTGTGCAGACTTTCAGCTGGCATCAGCTCACCCACACACCCCACCCTGGTACCAGGAGGAGCCAGGTGCCTTGATTTCCGCCCCCTTCCTGTACTCGACTTTGGCACTCGAAGAAAGTAAGTGGGAAACAGGTATAAGAATTTCTACAGGCCGGGCGCAGTGGCACACGCCTGTAATCTCAGCACTTTGGGAGGCCGAGGCGGGTGGATCACTTGAGGTCAGGGGTTCAAGACCAGCCTGGTCAAAATGGCAAAACCCTGTCTCTACTAAAAATACAAAAAGTAGCCGGGTGTCGTAGCATGTGCCTGTAATCCCAGCTACTCAAGAGGCTGAGGCAGGAGAATCACTTGAACCGGGTGGGCAGAGGTTGCAGTGAGCCGAGATTGTGCCATTGCACTCCAGCCTGTACAAAAAAGCGAAACTCCATCTCAGAAAATAATAATAATAATAATTCCTGGAAAACTGGAAGTAATGGAGCGATTCAGTGAAAGGATGAGCAGTTACCAAGGCTTAGTCCCTTGAGAGAGCAGCTAAGAGTAGGAGAAGCAGCGTATGCCAGAGGCAGGAGTACTGGGTCCCAGCCCCAACTCCACCACTCACTGGCTGTATGACCTTGGGTAAATCATGCCCCCTTCTACTCAGGAGGCTGAGGCAAGAGGACTGCTTGAGCCTGGGAGTTCAAGGCTTCAGTGAGCCATGATCATGCCACAGCACTCCAGCCTGGGTGACAGAGTGAGACCCTATCTCAATGGAAAATAAAAATTAATATATATATAAAGTATATATAAAATAACTCTGCCTCTTGGAGCCTGTTTCCTCATCTGCACAATCATGAAATTGTTTAGAGGATTTCTGAGGACCCCTCACCGGTATGATAGGGCAGGTATTACCCCTTTGTTCTTATGCAGTGAGGAACATGAGGAACAACCACTGTCACTTTCTCATCGTGTGGGTGAGATCCAGCCAGGTGGGGAAGGGCACACACAGTTCTACATCCAGCAGCAGCTGCTCTCTTCCACTCACCGACAGAGAGAATTTTTGAGTAAGGATAAACCATAGATTACCTAATTTGATGCTCTCATTTAATAGATCAGGAAAGACACAGGGTGAAGCGGCTTGTCCAAGGTTGCCCACCAGTGGCAGCTAGCATATTTATTTATTACGGACCCAGCATGTATCTTCCACTGTTCTCACATGTCTCATTTAACATCTGCATTCTACAGATAAGGGGATGAGGCTAAATAGGTGACACAAGGTCCTGTAACTAGTGACTTGGCAGAGGCAGCCAAGATCTTCCAGCTCTAACATGCCCTTTATACTAGCCCACAGGAGGCAAAGAGGTCTCTCCGTTACCTCAGGAAGTCGGACGTCAGCCCCAGCTGTCCTCTGCCCCAGGGAAAGCAGTGAAGGTGAGTCAGCCACTGCCCCGCCCCAGAAGCTGTTATCTGGGAAGAGAGTGGGGGAGCTGGTCAAATATACTGCCGCCTGGTATCCACAACAAGCCATGAGCCCCGGATATGCTGAGTTCCTTGGTCACCCTTGTTCCTGGTGCTGACACTAGGGCCCTTCTCAGTGCAGCTGCCCTTGTAACCGCTCCACCCTGTACTTTCATCACAAAAAAATACAATCTTTCCTCCTCCATTGCTGTAACCTGCCTCTTAAAGGGACAAACAATCAGGTTTTTTTTATTGTTGTTTGTTTGTTTGTTTCGAGATGGAATCTTGCTCTGTTGCCCAGGCTGGATTACAGTGGCGTGATTTCGGCTGGCTGTAACCTCTGCATCCCGGGTTCAAGCGATTTTCCTGCCTCAGCCTCCCCAGTAGCTAGGATTACAGGTGCACACCACCACCCCCGGCTAATTTTTATATTTTTAGTAGAAACGGGGTTTCTCCATGTTGGCCAAGCTGGTCTCTAACTCCCGACCTCAAGTGATCAGCCCGCCTTGGCCTCCCAAAGTGCTGGGATTATAGGCATGAGCCACTATGCCCGGCCGACAATCAGTTGTGAAGCCTAATTTGAGAGGGCAAAGGACGCCACTGACCCCGCTGAGGACCCTGCTGTGAAGTGGGTTTCCAGCTGCAGCTGTTTCTTTCCTGGAGATGTCCGCTTTCTCCCCTCCCCAGTTTCTCCCTGACCCTGTTGGAGGAAGGATGAACCTTCCCTGGAGTGTCAGGTTCCCATATACTCTCTCCTCAGGGTGACCCCAGCATGGCTTCTTGTACCTGTTTCCACACAAGTCTGAATCCTGTAGCCGCCCTGTGTTCAGGGAATGCTGAAGACAGAGGGACCCAGGAGTCCCTGGGATCAGTAGTGGCATTGAAAGAGTTAAGGGCCTGGGCACAGCACTGTTTAGGGTGTTTGAAGTAGGGCGGGGAAGGGAAGGGCTGCAGTGGATGAAGAGGCAGCTGGTCTGGACTGGAATGAGTTCCCCCTTATGCAAACTTCTGGACCATGAGCAGCTCCCTTAAAAGGACCAAGAGAGAGGGGACCCCCACCAAGGTGCTGGACTGGTTCTTAAAGGGGCCACCTGAAGCAGGACTTTTTCCCACACTGAAGTCACCAACTGAGGGCAGAAACAGGTCTCCCATCTTTGGGATATCTCCCAGGTCTGGTGAGTTTCCCTCTTCCCTTTCCTGGATCCTTGCCCTCAGACCCTCTCTTGCCCCACCTGTCTGGCATGGCACCCAGAACACATGCCAGGAAACTGGCAGGAGGTAGAAGAGGACTGGTTGGTCTTGACCCTTTCCTTCTCTATCCCCCACAAATAAAGGGTTAGTCTGGGTCCCAAGCCCCTTGTAGAATAAGCATACAGCTACAGGTCCAGCAGAACGGAAGAGGGCAGGGTCCCTACGTTCAGTTTCCTAACCAAATAATAAAAAAAAAAAAGGTGGTCACACTTGGAAGCCCAGAGCAGCAAAATTCCTGACTGACTTATGAACCTAGTACATCAAGGACATGGGGATGATTTAGGGAGAGTGTCTGAGATGCCTGTGGCTGACTTAGTAGAGGGGTGTGTGGTTAGATTAGGGGGCTGGGGACGCCTTGAAATTCCAGAACTAAGTACAGATGATAATGCCTCTCAGGAGACAACCCGGAAGCTGATACGACAGATGGCTTTTGCCCATACTGGCCTCTGCCCCACTAAGGGATGGTAGCCAGGGCCCACCATTGTATTTGTGCATAGACTCTTCTGGGTCCTCTTCTCTGCGCCTGACACTTAAAAGGTGCTAAAATAATCTTTGCTGAATGAATGGATCCTCTATATCTTTTACTTTGCTTTCATTTTTGGAATTGTGGCACTACTCTCTGACAGTGGACAGGAAAGTCAGAGAAGGAGAATGAGTTCCAGGACACCAGTGTTCAGCCAAGTCAGGCAGATGGGTGAAGCAGGAAGGTATCAGAGACTTGGGTGCTCCTGTCTTGGAATGGGGTATCTAGGGAGCACATGGGAAGGGATTGTAGCTCCTGGAGCCTTCTTTATCTGAGGCGAAGAGAAGCTCTGCTTTAGCCTTCTTTGCAGGGCACTGTTGGATTAATGGTTTACTTTCTACAGGAGAAGAAATGTTAGGTTAAATTTTGAACCATCAAAGAGTTTTTGTGACCCTGTGTCCCACCCCTAGGGCCAGGAGATTTGGAGGAGAGCCAGTACAACATGTCATTTGGCCTCTCCTTTCCTCCTCAGCCTTTATTATCTGATTCTCCTGGGTCTTCTCCAATATTGGCCACCTCGCTAGATTTAGGATCCCAGAGCCAGACTCAAAGCTTCTCAGGCTGCGAAAGGGCCAGCCAGCATTGCCTCCAAGCAACAGCACCTGGCTGTTTGCTTGCTGTCAGCAGTTCCTCCCCCATGTTCAGTGTTCACTGGCAGCAAACATAACCAGAGACCTGCCTGTGCCCCATCACCTCATTCAGGGGTCTAAGCTAACACAGGGAGAAGAAAGGATACACTGAACTTCTTTGGGACCCCTATCTCATTTCTTTTGGAAGCTGCTTCGTTTCTTTGGCTGGGGTCAGGGAGGTAGGAATGAGGTGGGTAAAAATAATGTTGCCAGATTTCTTTCAAAGCTAGCCACTTGGCCTGGTGTGGTGACTCATGCCTGTAATCCCAGCACTTTGGGAGGCTGAAATGGGTAGATCACCTGAAGTAAGGAGTTCAAGACCAGCCTGGGCAATATTGTGAAACCCCCATCTCTACAAAAATACAAAAATTAGCCAGGCACAATGGCGGGTGCCTGTAATGTCAGCTACTTGGGAAGCTGAGGTGGGAGAATTGCTTGAACCTAGGAGGCGGAGGTTCCGGTGAGCCGAGATCACGCCATTGCACTCCAGCCTGCCTGGTGACAGAGCAAGACTATCTCAAAAAAAAAAAAAAAAAAAAAGAAAAAAAAAAGCTAGCCACTTGATAGGCTGGGCACAGTGGCTCAGGTCTGTAATTTCATCTCAGCACTTTGGGAGGCCAAGATGGGTGGATCACTTGAGGTCAGGAGTTCAAGACCACCCTGGTCAACATGGTGAAACACTGTCTCTACTAAAATTACAAAAATTAGCCGGGCGTGGTGGTGCACGCCTGTAATCCCAGCTACTCAGGAGGCTGAGGCAGGAGAATCACTTGAACCTGGGAGGCAGAGGTTGCAGTGAGCCGAGATTGTGCCACTACACTCTAGCCTGGGCAACAGAGCGAGGCTGTGTCTCAGAAAAAAAAAAAAAGCTAGCCACTTGCTTTCTTTGAGAGCTTGTTTTCTGGTTTCAGAAAATAATTCAGGCTCCATAATGTGATGGATCAGCTTTGAAAACTCATCTCCGCCTCCTATCAGCTCTGTGACCCCCAGCCAGTTACTTAAGCTCTCTATGCAGCCTGTTTCTTCATATGTAAAATAGGGATAATAATGTCTGTTTCAAGAAATATTTGTGCGGATGGCACAAAATGGATGTTGGCACTCATTATCTCTCTCTCTATAGGCCTCAGATGACATTTAGGAAGTAGGTATGTTGGCTGGGTGCAGTGGCTGACACCTGTAATCCCAGCACTTTGGGAGGCCAAGGTGGGAGGGTCACCTGAAGTCAGGAGTTTGAGACCAGCCTGACCAACACAGTGAAACTCCCTCTCTACTAAAAATGCAAAACTTAGCTGGGTGTGGTGGTGGGTGCCTGTAATCCCAGCTACTTGGGAGGCTGAGGCAGGAGAATCGCTTGAACCCAGGAGGCGGAGGTTGCAGTGAGCCGAGATCGCACCATTGCACTCCAGCTTGGGAGACAGAGCAAGACTCCGTCTCAAAAAAAAAAGGAAGTAGTTATATTGAGGTCTCAATGTCTCAATGTCCCTTCTTCCCCAAAGCTTGTAGCCGAATGCCTGGTGTGCAGTGATCCTTTCATGTCCCTCTTTTATCTCTTTTCTCCTTTCTCCTCCTTCCTGAGATTTTGAGACCCGGTTGCTCTAGACTAGGAGTTGGCAAAGTTTTTCTGTAAAGATCCAGTTAACAAATATTTTAGGCCAGGCGTGGTAGCACATGACTGTAATCCCAGCACTTTGGGAGGCCAAGGTGGGCATATCGCTTGAGCTCAGGAGTTCAAGACCAGCCTGGGCAACATAGCGAGACATTGTTTCTACAAAAATTACAAATATTATCCCGGTGTGGTGTGGTGTGCCTGTAGTCCTAGCTACTTGGGAGTCTGAGGTGGGAGGATTGCTTGAACTTGGGAGGTCAAGGCTGCAGTGAGCAGAGGTCACGCTACTGTACTCTAGCCTGGGCGACCAAGTGAGACCCTGTCTAATATATATATATACACACACATATATATATTTTATATGTATATATCTGTGTACACACACACACACACACACACATATATATATATAGCCAGGCGCAGTGGCTCACACCTGTAATCCCAGCACTTTGGGAGGCCGAGGCAGGTGGATCACCTGAGGCCAGGAGTTTAAGACCAGCCTGGCCAACATGGTGAAACCCCATCTCTACTAAAAAATACAAAAATTAGCCAGAAGTGATGGCAGGTGCCTGCAATCGCAGCTACTTGGGAGGCTGAGGCAGGAGAATCGTTTGAACCCGGGAGGTGGAGGTTGCAGTGAGCCAAGATTACACCATTGTACTCCAGCCTGGGCGACAAGAGCAAAATTCCATCTCAAAAAAAAAAAAAAAAAAAAAAAAAAAAAACACACACACACACACACACATATTAGGATCCCAGACTCAGGATGTATCTATACATCAGGCTTTGTGGGCTCTCTGTTGCAACTACCAACTTTGCTGTCATAATGCAAAAACAGCCATAGACAATATGTAAATGACCGAGCATGGCTGCATTCCAAAAATACTTTATTTATAAGCACTGAAATTTGAATTTCATATAATTTTGTGTCTCAAAGTATTCTTTTATTTTTTTTTCAACTATTAAAAAAAGATAGCAGGACAGATTTGTCCCAGAGGCTATAGTTTGCTAACCCTTGCTTTAAATTTCCAGAGGCCATTCTATCCCTTTCTTCTCCTTGAAGAGGAGAACTTTATCAGGGCTCATCAGGGTCTCAAAGGACAGAAAAGCACTCATTTCTTCTTGCTCTTCTTGCTCTGATTGCATACACACTTTTCCATCAGAAGTTGTGTGTAACTGTTCCCATCATAGTTATGTGTCAGCCCATGAGTTATTTATTCTCTCTCTCTCTTTAAGAGAAAACAGTAGGTCACCATCATTCTCTCTCTCTTTCTCTCTCTCTCTCTCTCTCCTTCTCGCCTTCTCTCCTTCTTTCTTTACAGAGTCTCGTTCTGTCGCCAGGCTGGAGTGCAGTGGTATGCTCTCGGCTCACTGCAACCTCCGCCTCCTCGGTTCAAGTGATTGTCCACCTCAGCCTCCTAAGCAGCTGGGACTACAGGCATGCGCCACCACGCCCAGCTAATTTTTTTTGCTTGTTTTTTGCCACAGAGTCTCGCTCTGTTGCCCAGGCTGGAGTGCAGTGGCGTGATCTCAGTTCACTGCAACCTCTGCCTCCCAGGTTCAAGCGATTCTCCTGCCTTAGTCTTCTGAGTAGCTAGGATTATAGGCATGTGCCACCACGCCTGGCTAATTTTTTTTGTATTTTCAGTAGAGACAGGGTTTCTCCATGTTGGTCAGGCTGGTCTCGAACTCCTGACCTCAGGTTGTCCGCCCACCTTGGCCTCCCAAAGTGCTGGGATTACAGGTGTGAGTCACCATGCCGGGCCAATTTTTGTATTTTTAGTACAGACATGGTTTCACCATGTTGGCCAGGATGGTCTCGATCTCTTGACCTTGTGATCTTCCCGCCTTGGCCTCCCAAAATGCTGGGATTACAGGTGTGAGCCACCACACCAGGCCAAGCATTCTTCTTTCTAGCTCTCTGTTTCAATATACCCTGCCGTCTCTATGTCTCTAAGTAATAATAACAACAATAATAATAGTATTTATTGAGCACCTAATATGTACCAAAAACAGATGGAATGGGGACTAGGTGCATTGCATACATTATCATCAAGTCTCTCAACATCCTTACAAAGTAAGTACAGGCCCAGCGGCTTATACCTGTAATCCTAGCACTTTGGGAGGCTGAGGCAGGCAAATCAGTTGAGCCCGGGAGTTTGAGAC